TAATAGGGTTCCTTTCAGGGTACCTATGAGGATACTATGATAGGATTCTGAAAAGGAACATACCCTAAATTATAGGGGCCTTAATACTATGGTTTAAAGTCTATTCCTCAATTTAAGGGGTTTGGAGTTTAGGGTTAGGGTTAATGTTTATGGTTTATGGTGTAGGGCTTCAAAGGGTTTGTAAAACCCCTACACTCCCGATGAAGGACTCTAAATAGGGGATTCTTGAACCTACTTATGGGATCAGGAGACGTAGCAAGTAGCTTTATCCGTCAGGTAACCATAGATATATCTACTTCTAACCCCAAGCACGGTACTTACAACCCTACTGACGAAGTCCCATGATCTTGGAAGGATCCTCCAAATAGGATCTACGGAGCATCCCTTTAAAGTAGGATCCTTAGATATGTACGGATTGTCTCAGGATTCTCGCCCGTAAACCTACGACTCCTTCGTCCCTTGGCGCCGAATGCGCTAGGTTTAGGGCTCAGGGACCCTGAAACCCTTTCCGAACTCCACCAACGTGTGTTAAAGCGAAGAGTCCATGAGATCGGGCGCGTGTGCGCCAGCGCGCCGCAGAGGACGAAGAGCGTCAGGAATCCGTAATACCTCAAAGAGTTCATGGCTACAGAAGCCGCAAACACCTCAACACCCGTTTCCCCTAAACCAGGCCTTAGACCCACAACACAACCTAAACCCTAAACCCGCATCTTGCGTGATTGAAGCCCATTGGTCTGGTGTTTCGGATCTACAGTTTCTCCTCAGTGCTCGTAGGGATTTTGGATTTTGGGTTGAGGTTTACGATTTAGGCTTAGGGTTTAGGGTTGAGGGTTTGGGGTTTTGGGTTGTGGGACCTAGGGCAAGGCTTCTAAAAGAAGATCTAAACAGTTAGGACATAGATCTGGGATCGTTCTTGCTGGGATTCTCGGTGCTTCGCTTTGGAGTCTCCACACAAGCTTCTTCCATTCTCGCATACAGGATCATGGGATGTAGTAAGTAGGGTTATGAGTACCTTGCTTTTAATTGTGTAGAAATAAACGTAGATGTAACTTTATCTGCCTAACTTGTAGCCGTGTCCCATGATCCTCTACGTGTAAGTACCAAGAACCAATAAGTGCTTGTCTGTGCCCCGCGTGCTACTGGGCTGCTCCTGCAACCGGTAGGCCCTAAACCGAAACCCTAAACCCTGATCCCGGGGCAAAGTTCAGGCTTGGGGTTTGGCAACTCTAAACCCTAAACCCTAAACCCCAAACCCAAAAAACCCTAAACCCTAAACCCTGAACGCCCTGAACCCTAAACCCCTGAACCCGAAACCCTAAACCCTAAACCCTAAAAGCCTAAACCCTAAAACCCTAAGGCCTTGGCATACAGCCTCTGAGTCCGAACCGAGAGCTTCAAACCCTAAGGGCCGCGGACAAGCCTAAACCTCCAGGAGTAGAGATGACCTACCCCAATTCAAGGAAGCTACAGGAGGGTTTAGGGTTAGGGTTTAGGGTTTAGGGTTTGGGGTTTAGAGGATCAGGGGGCTTAGTAAGTAGGGTTATAAGTAAGGTAACTATCGTTATATCTACTTATAACCCTAATTAGGGTACTTATAACCATACTTACTACGTGCCCTGATCCTTTCAGTACCTCAATTCAAGGAAGCTACAGGTGAGGAGTTTAGAGCATATAAGGCTTCTATAAGGCCTATAGACCTTCTATAAGGCTCCCATAACGGTGACCTACCTCGAAGCCTAAACCCCAAACCCCTAAACCCGAAACCCCTAAACCCTTCAACCCGAAACTTGAGACTTCCAAGTCTGCGAGTCCCAGGTTGGGCCCCTTGCGTTGCTTCGAAGCTACAAGGCACAGTCGGGGAAGGGCTTGAAGGAGAACCACGGGCACGCGTCCTTGGATGAAAGTTGAGGAGTTTAGGGGGGGGTAAGAGGTACAAGGGCTGTGGAATTTTGGGGGTTTGGGGCTGAGGATGTCCGGGGTGTAGGGTGTCGGCGGGTTTGGGGTTCAATCGTGGCATCGGTCTTGATTTGCGGATTGAGAAGGTGTTGTGGTGCTGCCTATCAGCCCTCTGAAGCTCATTCAAGTTCTTCATCTCTTCACCAGTGAAGGGATACTCCATATGGAAGCCACACTTCAGTCCTGCTGGTTCAGGGCTTCGAGAAAAACTCCGCTCCCGTTTGGGCTGGGCTGGACGTTTGAATGCACACCCCTGGCTTGCGGCTCAGGGTGAATCCCAAATTGGAGGTCCTAAACCCTTAAAGCCACACCGTAGAGCCTGAACACAAAAAAGACCCTGCAGCAAAGTACTGAAGCCTAAAGACTAAAATTCCGGAAAACCAACAGCTCAAACTCTCATGCCGGGCCCTGCCTTCACACTCAAAACACTCACACTGAACGGCTCCGTTGACTTGGAAAATCTGAATGTCTTAAAAGTTTGCAAGGATACTGTGCACTGCAAACGGGCCACATCACCATAGACCGTACGATATGCTCATGGCTTCGGGCGTCAAGGTAGGGTGCCAAAGCGTCTAAGTTCGATATGCTTCCTGTATTGCATTGTTTTCAGGGTGCAGGCTTAGTGTGGCAGTCAACGAGAGCTTGGGTCTATGGTTTGCGGAAAGTTGCTGTAATGCCAAATGCAATGTAACCTAAGTGCACCAATAAACTCAAGATGCCATGATGGCAATGAATAACGCGGATAAACAATAATAACGCCACTCAGCGCTCCAAATGACCAAGATCTTGAGTTTGGTGCCGACCCGAAACCTCCAAGCCACAAGCCCAAACTCCAGAATCGAACTCCCCAAGAGCAGCAAGGCTGCCACCCCCACCTGAAATCCTGGCAGCCAATGCGAAATCTCCTGCCGTGTGCGGAAGGGGCACGTGACGTTGAGGAAAACAAATTTGGGGATTTTGAAAGCTTGGACCTGCAACTATCATTTGGAAGTTTGAGAGATGCGGCAAAAGTCCGCCGGCTCTGACGGAACAGTTTGCCTTTGTAAGCCGTGAACCGACATTCGTGTTGCCACTGTGTAAATGTTTTCAAACCACCAGAACCAGTACACGCGATAAAGCACACACCGGTGTCATCACCACTATCGCGGGATGTGTGTTCTTAAATGGCTGCCTCGATCCCAACGACAAGAAACAAGAAGGCTCGGCTCCAATCGTAACGCCCAACCATAGCCTAACCAGAAATCGACGCGAGCAACAACCTGCAATCGGTACTGCTTTATGCTAAACCATTACTTCACCGGGTTACAAAACCTCGTTTGCTGATGTTTCGATGTCGTGTATTCTCTATGTGAGTTCACTCCATAACCTTCTGTCTTTGTGCTTTGAAGTCCACTCTCCCTTTCAAGCTTAGGTTCCAACAAGGTAAAGATGATGATGGCACGCCACATGAGTTAAACATTCATAGGTCCATGCAATGATGAAAAAGCATTTCTTCTTTTCAGCCCATTCACGCTCTGAGAACCGAGGCATCAACGTTTGACTGTAGCCCTGCGAAACTGCAACAACTCTTTCTTAGGTGCTTGTCATTCACACATGCCGGACGCGTTTTGGAATGCTTAAGCATCCGTAAATGCCGCAAACACGCTCGTCATGAAACCCCGTGTCGACCTAACCCAACGCGACGCATGCTGTGGAATGTTGCGCATGTGACGGAGCAATAGTCGATGGGAACAACCGTCGAGCGACATCCGCAAACTTTTGTCACGATCACGACAATAATCTTAGCTCCCATGCTCACAACCAACCGGTGCTTCCAACTGTTCATCGTTCAGGGTCGCTAGGGTCGTCTCAAATTGTGGCCACTCGCCGCCAGATCATGACTGGCGCAAATGCCATTGATCCGGTAATTTTCTCGCTTCAACGATTCAACAATGAACTGGCGCTGTTGAATCGGCACCTGAAATCATTGAACCTGCAGGCAAACTTTGAGAAATTGGAAACGGTAGAACAAATCGAGACAGCACAAACTGGCCAGAAACATACGAATAGACCATAACACGCTGGCGGCTCAAAGGATGAGAATGAGCGAACACCTGCCGTAGCAAAACACTGATAAGAAAGTCTGGAGGCAAACCGAAGGCACAAAGTTCAGAGCTCAAGCAACATGGCATGCCCGCACCTTTACTACGTATGGTTTAGGGTTCGGGGCCCGGAAGTACGGAGAAAGCAACGGTATAAGGCTTTATTCTAAAATCGGGAAAACAATGACCATGAAAGTATATTTCATTTCACTTGCAAATTAATTGTTTGGTACCTGGGTTCCGTGGAAGGTTTAGGGGCAAATATGAAAATGCAAGATAAATGTTGCTAACTTGTACAAGCACTGGTGGTACAATTAAATTGCAAATTCGTTGCGAGACCTGCACATACAATTAAATTGCGATTTCATTGTTCGCCGGGTACAGGTTTAGCTCTCAGTACTAGTATTCCTCTTATTAGTACGAATATGCCTCTGATTAGTACTGGTATTCGGCATATTAGTACCAGCATTCCGCTTATTCATGCTGGTATTTCTCTTATTAGTACCAGTCTGCTGTTGATTGGTACTAATATGCTTGTAGAAGTACGAGTATTCCTCTTCTTAGTACGAGCCTTCCTCCAAGAAGCATTCGTATTCCTCTGATTAGCACGAATACTTCGACTATGCATACGAGTATTCCGCTTTTTAAACTAGTGTCAGTTGATAGTCAAGGCTCGGTGCCCCGCAGAAGCTGCTAGTTTGCAAGTTTATTGTTTGCTGGAACATTTCGGATTAAAGACTCCTGGCTCTGCAAAAACCGTTAACACGCAAGTGAACCCTTAAGCAAAGCCATCTAGGGTCCAGGTCCCAAGCCCTGTCGAAACTACCAATTTGCAAGCTAATTGTGCAGGAACATGCCGGGTTCAGGTTGGAGGGCCATTCCGAAACCATGAATTTGCAAGTTTATCGTCACAACCTTCCACTCTGAAGCCCAACACTTAACCCAATCACTCCCATCAGCCCACCACAGTCCCTGCAGAGGCCATGGCCCACGCAGTTTGCCTCTCCTCGGCTTGAAGCGAAGGAGGTATGCGAAGATGCAAGAGTGGCTCTACTTTGCACAAAGGGTATCCACATACACATGTACATGTATGTATGTCTGTCTGTCTGCCTGTCTGTATGTCTGTCTGTCTGTCTGTCTGTCTGTATGTCTGTATGTCTGTATGTATGTATGTCTGTATGTATGTATGTATGCATGTGAAAAATATATATAGACATATATATATATAAACAAACGAATGTGTGTGCGTATATATGTATATATCATATTATATAAATATATAATTGTACACATATACATACACATAAAGAGTGAG